AAACCCCCTTTCTCTAAAAAGTGATTTGTTAACTGACAATGGCCAGAGATATGATTGAATAATATGCAAATATACAGTATTCTATTTTTTTTCTTTTCTTTTTTTTTTTTTTTAAGATTTTATTTATTTATTTGACAGAGAGAGACACAGCGAGAGAGGGAACACAAGCAGGGGGAATGGGAGAGGGAGAAGCAGGCTTCCTGCGGAGCAGAGAGCCCGATGTGGGGCTCGATCCCAGGATGCTGGGATCATGACCTGAGCCGAAGGCAGACGCTTAACGACTGAGCCACCCAGGCGCCCCTACAGTATTCTATTTTCAAAGAGATGGAAGATCAATAGGAGATAGTGGCTTGATTTAAGGTGATTATCCATATGGTGATTCTCATAAGAATGAAGCAAAAATACAAGAATATTGGGTCCTATGTTGCAAAGCTTTGATGATTATTGGGGATGTAGGTGAGGGAGACCATTAAGATACTTTTGGAAATGGTTAAGTTTCAGGTTAGTCCAGACAAAAGGGATGAGCACTTGAAAGAAAGATTCTACCAGAAGGCCAGAAGGCAGGCGTGATATGAGGGAAAGGGGAGCAGGAACTGAAGAGCTGGGAATAAAGGAGAGAAAGGTCATAGGAATTTAGGAACTCTGGAAAACTAGACAAGGGCCCAAATCACAATGTCCTATAGGAACAATAAGAATATACACCAGCCAGCCTGATAAATCTGAGAGCTTCAAAGTGTGAAAATCAAAAACAAATGAAGACCAACCTTGAAAATTCTCTTAGCAGACAAAACCACTCTAGTCATACAAAGTTTCAGTTAGCTTATTTTGCAAGGCTAGCTTGACCCAAGCCATTTCTTGTTTATGCCTCTAGATATCATAAGTAAAACTTGAACTATTTCCCAAGGTTGGTATGAGGTAACCACTAACCAGTTCCCTATCATTTAAGAAAATTGTAATATTATAATCAATCCCTGTGAAGAATAAACAGTCACTGCCTTCCCACTATATAAGTTGCTTTATAACAATATACCCTGAGTCTCACTCCATGTTTTGGTTTGAGTGCTCTTGCTCTGCAAACTGTCTTTTTGGTGGGTGCACATAAACTTTTACTAATCACTACTTCAATGATTCATTGTTTTTACTTCTGCAATTTCTGAACTTTTTACAAAAAGAAGCAGTTTCAGTCCAAGAACAGAGAAGATTATGTGATTATAAGTGGAAAGTTTTGGCATCTTTTTGTTCAGTTTTTGGAGAATGATCTTTTGGAAGTTTGAAAATGTAAATAAGAAGAACTTGACATTTGACTAAGTGACAAACAAAAACAAGGGTCCTCTGCCTGGAGAGTATTGGGGAACAAGAACATTGTAGATGGACAGGTAACTTCAAGGCTTAAAGGACATTGGTAGCTTCAGGGACATCATACTGCCCACAGTCTATAGCCACTAGGGCACATTAATAAACAAAGCATTAGTGCCTCTCTGTGATGTTGCCCACCAGCTTTTGTAGCACTGACCACCACGTGGGAAAAATGAGGAGTTGCCACCATACACAATCGTGACAGAAGCAGGAAAGGCCCATGAGCCAAGATTTGTCAGGAGCACAGAGCATGGCCAATTGGCTTTGACTTGTGACAACACATGTTGGAGTGTTTTAGTGTTTTCTGACCAAAAAAGAGACATTTTTTTGCCCTTTAGTCAGGTTTTTGCAAATAACTTTTTAGAAGGTAAAATTGAAATAACATCACCATATGTTCTTAGTACAATGAAATTCAGGAGCACCTGTAGGAGTCTTCACTATATTGGTTAATGCCATTTTAATTGTCCGACATGCACTCTTCCTTCTGTTATCTCTAGTTGATATATTCCAGGTTTTAAGTCAATAATTCTCACTGCAAAATCTCCAGTGTGTTCCAGAAGTGATTACTTAACCGGACCAAATAAGGATAAGATATATTTTTATATATTTATGTGAATAATTATATTATCAGCTCAAATTGCTCCAGCAATAGGTACACTAACAAATAAATACATAAGAAAATAAGTAAATGTCAACATTAAAATATTAATTCTGCATTTAGGTTAAAATGATTTCTTAAACTGTTCATTCTGTATATAGAGTATATATATAACATGATATATATATATATATATCATATATATATATATACATATACATATATATATATGTATATGTATATGCCCACACATTAACAGAATGAAAGATCATCTTTTTTTTAAGATTTTATTTATTTGAGAGGGAGGGAGAGAGAGACAGAGAGAGAGTGAACAAGCAAGAGTACAAGAGCAGGGAGAAGGAGAAACAGACTCCCCACTGGGCAGGGTTCGGGGCTTGATCCCAGGACACTGGGATCATGACCTGAGCCAAAGGAAGACACCTAACCAACTGAGCCACCCAGGTGCCCTGAAAGATAGTTTAAAAATAAAAAAGCAAGTGTCAGGGGTAAATATTAACAAAAGCAAATTGGAAAACCCTAAAAGGAAACTTTTCAGAATGATTGGGTAATATTCTAAAGAAAAATATTAATTTTAGTATCTATGGTTAGTGTGTCATAAGAATGGTAAAATAATTGCCTTTTTTTGTTAGAATTTTAATATATGGCACAGATCACAATTCAAATACTGCTTGTGGTCAATATTATGAATGGAAACTATACACTCATTTGATTTACAAAATTACTTATTTAGGTGTAAGAGTTTTGTTTGGATTGGAATAATGAAAATATTAAATGGATATAATTCATTTGGCAAAATTCTTGATGTTTTAAAAACTGTTTAGGTTAAAATTGTGCTATTTTAGTAAAAATAAATTACATTGTATTATTGGCTTTAAATTATAAATGGAAATAGAAAAAAATAGAAAAGAGCATTTCCAGCCTGCCCAAAACTAACGTAGTTCCACCATCAGAAATAGAGTTGGAATGGCTGCGTGGCTTAGTTGGTTAAGCATTAGACTCTTGGCTTTGGCTCAGGTCATGATCTCCCTATGGGTAGTAGGACAAGCCCCATATTGAGCTCCCCAAGTCTGCTTCTCCTGTGCCCCTACCCCTTGCTCAAGCACACACATACACACACACACACACTCTCTCGCTCGCTCTCTCGCGCGCATGCGCTCTCTCAAATAAATAAATAAATCTTAAAAAAAAAAGAAGACAGAAATAGAGTCAGGCCTGATAGGTGAAAATGCTTATCTCAAATGAAACCAGCTCTCACGAGTGGATTTTATTCACACTTAGCTTTTGTTCTCTCTCGTGGACTTTTTACTATCTTTAGTGGTACCTTTAAATCCTTCAAACAATCCCAATAAATATCACAGCAAAAACAAAACTCATTTCCACATCCTATAACTTGTTCTGCAAACCTTCCTGGTTTTAGCTGATGATAGATAAAGGACAGTTAAATATATATTTTAAAACTAACATTTTATGTAGTAATATTCTTATCACTTGACAACACAATGCTGTTCCACAGTGGTACATTTTTCTAAGTCATTTCATAATGTCAACTAGAACTGATAGTCTCCAAATTTAGAGTTCCACTTTCCAAGCATATATAAAATTCCATGAAATATATACCTGAGATGTATGATTTTCACCCTCCATAGGCAAAATACCCAACCCAATTGTTAAGATAAAGTTAAATTTCATTTATCTATGCAGAGATGTAGATTTCTAAAGGGCATTTAAAGACATTGAACTAACCTTTATAATATTTATGTAATTTCTCATCCTTTTAAATTTTCTATTTGTTTCAGTGGTGACAAATTGCAGGTGTGGTACATCTTTACTAGTCAACCATATACAGGGAAAAAAAGGCCTTTAAAATGTAATAATAAATCGGGCACCTGAGTGGCTCAGTTGGTTAAGCCACTGCCTTCGGCTCAGGTCATGATCCTGGAGTCCTGGGATCGAGTCCCACATCGGGCTCCCTGCTCGGCCGGGAGTCTGCTTCTCCCTCTGGCCCTCCCCCTCTCATGTGCTCTCTCTCTCTCTCAAATAAATAAATAAAATCTTAAAAAAAAAAAAAAGAAATGTTCGGGGTGCCTGGGCGACTCAGTTGGTTAAGTGTCAGCCTTCGCCTCAGGTCATAATCCTGGAGTCCCAGGATCGAGCCCCGCATCGGGCTCCCTGCTCAGCAGGGGGTCTGCTTCTCCCTCTGACGCTCCCCCCTCTCATGCTCTCTCTATCTCTATCTCATTCTCTCTCTCAAATAAATAAATAAAATCTTTAAAAAAAATTAATAATAAATGGAAGTGAACAGGTATGGTCATTTTTTAAATAAATCAGATGATAAAATTCTGTCTATCCTGTCTACTTGACATTGTGACATGAAAATTTGCTGGTTTCTTAAAAAAAGGAAAACTAACCAAAAGAAAAAGAGGAATAAAATCCAACTAATACTTAACTATTAAGAGTGTAAAACTTGGGGCGCCTGGGTGGCTGAGTTGGTTAAGCGACTGCCTTCGGCTCAGGTCATGATCCTGGAGTCCCGGGATCAAGTCTCGCATCGGGCTCCCTGCTCAGCGGGGAGTCTGCTTCTCCCTCTCACCCTCCCTCCTCTCATGCTCTCTTTCTCTATCTCATTCTATCTCAAATAAATAAATAAAATCTTAAAAAAAAAAAGAGTGTAAAACTTGTTCTTGCTCCATTCACTGAAGGGGCAGTATTTCCTGCTCGGGCTGGTTAGAGGAAGATATGCACACAACACCACCATATCTGACGTGTTAGATGACACCAGATAGAGAAAGTGAATGACCTATATTCAATACCAGGTAAAATTCCCAAGTACTTTTTCTAAGAGTATTTCTAAGTCAAAAGTTGACCAAGGTTTTGTGAGAATCTACCTAATTTACATCTTATTCCAAATATTGAACAGTTTGCTATAGCCATTCTTGTCTAATTAGTAATCAGCAAATAATCAAAATACACAGAAATGCAGGTATTATGGCATGGTCTTTAAGGATAGACTGAAAAGACAGGCTACCTTTATGCTTAATCCAAATCCTCCTACAGTTTGTCTTCTAATGGTCACCGTTCTTTCCTGAAAGACAGGATTTTAAAAGAGGTTAGCATTTCTTAATACTATATTTACACACCATTTTCCTTCTCTGGATTCTGTTTTTGTTCCTTAAAAAAGAAATATTTTGTGACACCATACAGGCTCTAATTCTTGCAACAAATGGAGTATTTTGTAATTTTCAAATCAAAGGTTAATTTATTTGTCTAGATAAAAGGGACTGTACTGTTATTAAACTTCTAAATTCCCCCAAAATAGGTTCCATTCATGATTCTTTGGACATATTTTGGAATTTTAATTTTTATCTTCTCATTTTCTCATTTTCAGACTATATATTCTTGTTATCTAAGAGATGACAAATTCGGGTTACATAAAAATAACTCTATGTCAATGGTAAATATTATCTTTGTCAACCAAGGTCTTATCTCCATCAGTATCAAGTCATCTTGCTTGGGGAAATTTGAGAGCTGAGCTGGGAGGCTGCCATGTCCCAGCACATTAATGATTCATGTGTGTGTCTAGAATTGAAACTCTGGATAAACCAGGTTTAAAATGATTGCTTATTTGAAAAAAGAATGGACTTTACAACTAACTAATAATGACAATGAAATTATCAATTTTCAAGGCAGAGGAGAAGCATGTCGAAAGTTTGAAAGCTTTTATTTATAATCTCCACTTACTTATAACTTTCTCATGTTTTTGAACCTCCCCCATCCATAATGGTTTGAGACCCCCTACCCCTTCTCCTGCTGTACTTGGGGTAGATGTTGGTCCCCACAGATGCCCAACTGATTTGACTATATGACCCATTCCCAAATACTGTTCTCTTTCTTATAGATTTTTTCCTTTACTCCCTGGTTTTAGAGGGGCTATGTGAAGCAAATTATATTATTTAAAAAGAACAAAGAGAAAATCTGGAAAACATGGGCTTCTGACGGCTCTTCCTAAATATTTTAAGATAGCATAAAACCTCATCATTTTGGCAGTTACAACATACCTTCATTTAGCCAAGGATTTAGATTTCATAAATAAAAGCAAAAAAAAAAAATGCTTAAAGAACAAGATCACTATACCAGAAATTGAGGTATATTAACTGTTATTTATTTTGAATTAAAAAGTAAATTTTTACGGTTGGAGATTCGTGCAAATGAGTAGCACTTAATTATCTAAATTTTCTTCCTTTTTATCATATCCTAAGTAATTTGACCTATTTTAAAACTACAGATTTTACTCTTATAAAATCATCTAATTATGTTTTCAAGCCAACATTAAAATTACTTACACAAAGTAAGTTTATAGGTACGTTACAATTTATGCAAAGCAATATGAAATATAAAACACATTATTCATGTTAAATAATACCATAAAGTCTACTTTTTTATTTGTAAGCCAACTATTATATCACTCCCCATTGGTGGAGGTACAAGTATGGGAAGATGCAGTACTTTAAAACTTATATTGCAAAATCTATGTATATAAGCATATCTTCATGTACAAAAGCAAAAAGGAAAGTAGGCACATGCATTATACACACAGAAAATCTAATTTAAAATAAATTAAATATTTATTGGAAATGTTCTTTTGTTGGACAAGATAAGAACAATCTGTTAAACTAATTAATCTTTGTTTACTTCTCATTAAAGGATTATTTAAAGCTGTACATTGCAAAAATGGCATTGAAATCAAAGAATCTTTCAATGACTCACATATCCACAACTTAATATGATTGGAAAATTACTTAAGCCCTGTGAATCTCTTTTTCCAAATCTGTAAAATGGTGATAAATAATACATAGTAACAGCTTTGTTTTGAGGATTGATATTTGTGAAGGACCCTGGCATATAGTAGAAACTTAATGAATATTCTCTCTCTCTCTCTCTCTCTCACACACACACACACACATCTGTTATTCTAGACAGAAATTCTTACTTAGTAGTCACTTAAATCTGATTAATATTTGTCCACTCTGTATTCCAATAGTTACATCACACAGTAACTCAAATACTGGAATTCTCAACTCAAGGATAGGCCAATTAAATGGTTATCTTTACTCATAAAACAGACTGGCAAACTGCTTTCACAGTACTGCCTATCAAACTGAACAGGTTCTTAGATGGTAGAGTTGTTTTCTTAATTCCATTTCTATAAGGAATAAATTCTTGATTTTCTCAAAGTAAAGAATTCAGTCTGTCAAAGAAAATATATTTTATTAATAAATGATATCAGCTAAAACATCTTGCATAGAAATCATTAGTCACAAAGACAACTTGGTGAATAAATTCTATTAGTTAATAGTGTATGCCAAGTGTATGCTGAAACACTGCTTTTCTCTGAAGGGACAGCAAGAATGACAGGGTGATCAAAGGTCCATGCAATGCCTTTACTCCTTCTCTACAAGACTGCTTTCCAGTCTTTGGTGGAGAATATTTAGAATATGTTCCAAATCAAATACAAAGTTGCTGGTGCAGAGAGGAGTTGGAGAGACTAGAGAGTCAGCAGTAACTGCTGAAAATCTCAGAGGCAGCACTTATTTTAATGTATTTTAAATACATGGGCACACATATGCACATGCAAACCCAGCCAGCACCTCTACATGCTATTGCTTCATTAGTTTGTTTTTAAGAAAGTAAAGAGAAACGAACAAGACAGATTACTTCTTGTTTTAAAACCAAAATATTAAATTTGTCACTGCAGGTAGCCAGAAGTATAGTATGGCAAGCAACTGTTCCCAGTATGGCACCTTGCTGATATTCTTTCCACTGCCTGAATGTTTGTGTTAGCTACACCTTCTATCCCCTTTCCACTTCTCCACATTTGGTTCTTCCATCCTCCCCCCCAAATAATTTTTTTAAAGGCAATATAATGAATTGTTTCAGCTGTTCACCTCATAAATCAGAGAATATCTGAAAGCTGATCTGAAGTTGTATTTAGTTACATCTTGGGTGTCATAAAGACATTGCCTAAGTAACAAAGCACTGTCCTGCAGGAAACCAATGTATTATTGGTTATTTTATTCTTTAAAATATAAAATCAAGACAGGTTCCCCCATATACTTACATGTATAAAAAGCCTCTCTTTAATTGTCCTAATCCTTATAAAATGTAAAGGATGGAGCCCAAAAATAATGCTGGACTTATAAAAACATGCTGTAGTGGCACCTGAGTGGCTCAGTTGGTTAAGCAACTGCCTTCGGCTCAGGTCATGATCTCAGGGTCCTGGAATCAAGCCCCAGGTCAAGCTCCATGCTCAGTGGGGAGCCTGCTTCTCCCTCTTTCTCTGCCCCTCCCCCTGTTTGCACTCTCTCACTCTCTCTCTGTAAAATAAATAAAATCTTTTAAAAAAAAGATGTGTTGTACACCTAATCAGCATAAATGTTATGACAAAATAAAAAAAAAAAAAAACTTGCTTTAAATGTTTAATTTGCTTTATGTAAAAATCTAATTATTGCCACCCTTGCCCTCTGGAATATTATATTTGAAAAACTCTATGTATATCGTATGACCTATATGGGACTATAACCAAAATATACATGTTACCAAACACAAAGTGTTGCTATGGTATATCCCAAGTATAGAAATGTTTGAGATATGTAGGTGAAAAGAGAAGGAAGAAATAAGAACAGTGCAGAAACTAGAGAGTTATCAAATGGAAAATTTTTTGTACTGAGTATGTGGGGTGGAAACAAAGAAGATATATAAGAAAAGAGATAGGGAATGTTATTAGCTCTTTTTGACAGTTCAGGAAGAGTGAATAAACTTGAAAAAGGAATAATAATAAAGATGGTAACATCTAGGTACTGAAAATCAGCTATGTGAACTGACAGGTCTCATAGCACATATGATTATTAAAATACATTGTGACTTTGACTTTTTCTTGTGAACTAATTTTTCTGAGAGCTGAGTCTTGTTCACAGTCAAATCCCAAAAATTTAGCATAGGGCCTATATCAAAGTTAGGTATTATGCATTAAGTGAAAAAAAAATTTTTTTTGCAAGTGTTTTTCCCAAGTAATCATCATAACAGCACTTGGGATAGGCAATATTTTCCTAATTTAGAATGAGAAAACCAAAATACAAAGGAGTTAAGTTAACTTGACCAAGATCCAAATCATGATTTAAATGAAAATATCTCTGATTCCACTATAACAACAGGACTGAGATCAGATGAACTGGGATGAAAGAAACAAAGAAACTGGAAAATCAGGGTACAATGTAATGAAAAGAGGGGATTGTGAGAAAATGAACGTTTTCCCTCTAAAACCAGGAAAAAGGCAAGGATCCTCTCATCACTCCTCTTACATTATGCTTGGAGTCTCAGCTAGTGCAAAAAGGCAATAATCTGAAGTAAAAAGCATTGTCTATAAAGAATAGACAAAAACCTACTGGAAATAAATAATTGTAGCAAGGTCACAGGAAACAAAAAATATACGAAAATCAATTGCTTTCCTATACATCAGCCTTGAGAAATTAGAATTTGAAATGAAAATCACAATATCATTTATAATAGCTCACTAAAAAGGAAATAGTTGGTATAAATCTAACAAAATAAGTAAGGACTTATATATGGAAAACTACAAAACTTTGGAGAAAGAAATCAAAGATGATCAAAACAAAGAGAGATATTTCATGTTCAGGGACTAGAAGACTCATTTTTCAGATGTCAATTCTTCCCAACTGGATCTATAGAATCAATGCAGTCCCAATAAAATCTCCACAAGCTATTTATGAATATTAATAAACTGTTTCTAAGGTTAACATGGAAAGCCAAAAGACCCATATTAGCCACCACAATATTGAAATAAAAGAAAAAGTTGGAGGACTCAGGATGCCTGATTCATAATTTACTATAAAGCTACAGTAATCAAGACAGAATGAAATTTTTGAAGACTAAACACATAGATTACTGGAATAGAAGAGAATGCCCCAAAACAAAACAAAACAAAACCAAACATACAAGTGCAGTTAACTGATCTTTGACAAAGAAACAAAGGCAATTCAATGGCAACAAGAAAGGATAGTCTTCTCA